TGTTTTCCGGCGTGGTTGGGCCGGGACTCGCGCCGGCCGTTTCGTGCGAATCCCGGCCCATACCGATGTCGTTCCCGGTCCCCACTCGCCGTCGGAAGTGAGCCACAGTCGCCGGAGCGGACCGAGTCGCCGGAGGAGGCCAAAATGCCTCTATTATTGTCATGCCCGCCAACCGTTTGTCAAAATGTCTCACAGAGCTCGGTTTGTGTTTGAGCTTCGTCGGAGAGTAGGGAGCCGAACGGTGACTCAACCGACTCAGGTAAGTGTTGAGGAGACCATCAGGGACCAGAGGGAACCCGAATCGTGGTCTGGGTACGTCGGCCAAGTTCCGATCGGCGTCCGATTTGACGAGTTCCGATCGGGGCTTGGCCGGCGATCATTCAGGCCGGTTCTCCGGCGATCGGGCATCAAACACTCCTCAGCTCGATGAGCTGATGAGAACGATGCCACTGGCCGGACGAAACATCCGGCGAATCGCCGGATTTTCGTCCGGTCAGTGGCCCCCGGAGTTTGAGGCTTGGACACCGGCTGAACCGGTCCGGTCCTGTTCAAAAACCGGTTCAGGGCGGTTCATCGATTCGGTCAATCGGACCCGACCCGGATCCAATTATCCGACCCAAATTAATCAATTCGGGTCGGTTTCGTGGATCCGGGTCGGTTCCGATCGGACCGGATCCGATCCGACCGACCGGATCAGCGATCCGACCCGGTCAACGCCGGGTCGGATCCGTGACCGGTCGGATCCGACCCGGTTAATATTATATTATTATTTTATTTTATTTAAAAAATAAAAAATTTTAAAATTTTAAAAAAATTTTAAAATTTTTTTTTAAAATTTTTAAATTTTTTTTTAAAATTTTTAAATTTTTTTTTTCCTTCTTCTGTATTATTATTATTTTTTTTTTTCTTTCGAAAAAAAAAAATTTAATTAAAATTTTTTTATGTTATATCTAAGTGTTTTAATTTATTGTATTATTATGCATGTTTTTTTGTCTTGTTTAAATTAGACAAGCCTGAGCTTACGCGGTAGTATTTTGCATGTTAGTTTTTATTACCGTTGTATTGTTATGCATATTTTTAATACAATTGCATGAGTGTTGTATTTTTGAATGTCATCTGACTTAGTTAAGGTTAGAACCTTAGGCTGCATGAATTGTTGTGTTCTTGACTGCTGATCGTTTCTGATTATGCACTCGCTTGATCACCTCACATGTTAGGAGAAAGGTCCTAAAATTAATCCAAATTGCCTGACAAATGTTTTCAGAAATGAACAGGGTAAAAAGGTACCGAAAGGGCATTAGTTATCCAACTAGTGTAACCAAGTCCCCGAACTCATTTAATCTCTGGTTCGTAGGAATAGGGTGATTCTCCCATCATCCTATTTGGGTTTCTAATCGACCCACCCCAAATCGATTAGTGGCGACTCCTTGATATAAACCACTTGCATGTTGAGAAACTTAAACCCTAAGTCGCGATATGGTATGGGCTTGGGAGAGCCCGAGTTAAGTCCCGAACCTAGACTTAGCACGTACCAGGCGAGCCCTCCTTTTTTGCATGTTGTTTAAAAAGGGCTCGGGAGTTTGGTCGCGACATTTACGACTCAATTAACGAAATTAAAAGATTTAGAATTAAATTGACAAAAGTGAATAAGTGCAAGACTTTTTAAACAATTTTTCTTAAAAAACTGTTTGCACAGGCGTGTTCAAATTGATCAATTCCATGATCAAGGATGCCTCCTGATATCGGTTGCCCACTTGTCCACTTGTCCTTGCCGACGTTGCCGTCGCACTCAATCACCACCAACATCGACTCATACACATGCACCACCCCTAACGTGAACATCATCCCAAATAAATATCCTGAGCTGCCACACTGGAAATGAAATCAAGCCAAGTTGAGTCGATATGGTGTCAAGCTCAAGCTCTGTTCGATTTGATTCTTGTACTCAGTGCTCGAAACTCGACTCGAGCTAAATCGAGTATTAAATTTTTTCTGCCCAAGCTCAACTCCGTTAGAAAATCAAGATACTTGAGCTCAACATAACTTGATTTAGGTAAATTCTAAACCTGAGCTCGAGTTTTATAAGCTCGAATATTACACAATTCTAAGTATTTTGTGTCTATCTTTGTGATTATTAAATATTTCCTAAAAAACATAAAAGTTCGATTTAGCTCGATTAGGCTCATAAGCTTATCAAGTTAAATATTGACAACTTTGAGCTCGACTCGACAAGATACTCAAGTAACTCGAACTCAAGTTCGACTTGAAATTAGGTGAGTCAATCGTTAGTAGTCATTGAGCTGAGCTCGAGTAACTCGCAAGTGGCTTGAATCGGTTTTACCCTAAACTAGACCGCCATCGCCGAGTTGCAAGACTAAGACACACACACTCCCTCCCTCCTTCCCTCCCTTTCTTTGGCGATTGCTACTGCACCATTAGCAAAGTCAAGTTCAGCGCTCGAAAGCGATAATTAGAACAAGGAAGAAGAAGACCGCATCACATAGGGCTCTCTGCCTAGCAAAAGACCACATCGAGTCGAATGACATTGAGCAATGAGTTAAAGTTTCATCCTCTGTATAACGAAAGGAAAAACCATAAATGGGTAAAGGGGCTTGAGAAATCAATATTGAGACTATGTACTCTCGTGACGTCAAAGTTGAGTGCACAATGTTTCTTCTAAAGTATGTTGGAAAATACATTTTACGGCTTAACAAATCGAAACATGTCTTTTAAATAAATCGAGAATATCCAAATTCAAAAGGGAAAATGATACCAATGGTTTATGAATTTTGGTCTAATGCACTATGTGGTCCTCCTTAGACTTTTAATTTATTCAATATTGTCCATAAACTTTCACCTAATGTGCAATATGGTCCTTGAACATTTAATTTGTTCAATGTGGTCCCTAAACTTTTGGTACATATTCAATTTAGTCCCTAAAATATCTGAAAATGTTAAATGTTGCCCCCCATCTTTGAATTAATAAAATGATAACATTGAATATTTTCATATAGTGTAGGGACTACATTGAACATGTATCAAAAGTTTAGAAACTACATTAAACAAATTAAAAATTCAAGAACCACATTGCAACTGAGTTAAAGTTTAGGGATCATGTTAAATAAATTAAAAATTTAGTAATCATATTACACGTTAAATCAAAACTTAGGAATTCAGAATACTGAAAATCCTTTTTTGAGGTGGATCCATCCATGTGAGCTTTACGATTCTATTGTGAGACAGGGCATACGGCGAAAGTCAACCTAAAATATCTAGTTTAAACTGGAAAGAAGAGGACAGGCACGAAAGTGGGGGTAAAGTAAAGATGCGATTGCCGATCCACTCTAGCCATATTTCCGAATCCGACAACACGTGGGACGTTCCACTGACGCTGCTACGGCATTATCGCAAAAGTTCCATGGAGCCATTATAGCCCAAGCCTCTCTCTCAAACATTAGTCACAAGAAACATGAGTGCAATTATCGGACAGCGATGCTGGTGTTGGTACCTGGATTTTCAACTAGTTTAATCGAAGACAACAAGGGACATCATCGTCCCCAAGAAAACTAGAAGACAGAGATCAAGAGGACGTCCATCACCCGTAGTATTCCATACTGCACAATTAGCACTCCAATCCTTGAAGATATAATACTGGAAGATGGGGAACGTGGGACCAATAAAACAATCGAGCACAATCCTATGGGCTATATATAAGCCAAAAGAGCCAAAAGGCATGGCCTAATTCCCTAAAAGAATCTCTAAAATTCTCGATTCCATCCGGACATATAAACATCAACTTTTGCTCTAGTACCCAAATTTGCATCGCATCAAAAAATCGCAACTGATTTTTTTAGAATTATCTGCATCGAGAGGCTGCTGTTGCTCCATACGAAAGTGAGAGTGCTGGCAAAGACGTAAATTAACCTCTGACTATCTCTAATACTGATAATTTTGACAAGACTAATGGTATTTTTGGACATAGGGACAGATTTGAGATTATAGTGAAAGTTTGTGAATTTTTCTAAACAAAAAAATAAATTTTGTGACACAATTGAGATTAGACATAAAGTCGATTTTTAGGGAATTAAGCCCTTATATTAAATGGTGTTGTAGCCCATTTGAAGGGATTTTGAGCTACTTGCTTTTTTTAACAGTTTTTCCTTTAAAAATTTAAGAGTAAGAAATATTAGTAATGTTTTGGAAATCATGTAAGTATCTTGTATGATTCCCACATGCCGACACACGGTTAATTTCGACAACCTGCAAGTTTTTCGAATTAATTAAAGTCAAACTTCGAATTCAGCAGCATTGAACAACACCAAATGTTAACGGAGGAAGTTATTCTGAACATGTTTTCCACGCTTCACTCTGCCCGAATCATTCAGCTGACTCGTGCCCGGAATAAGAAAATTTGCAATTTTTTGCTGGTACATTATTAACAACTAAGCTCCAAGCCCAAATTGTCTTTTTTCTAAAACATGGGGTATCATGACATCGCAACTCGATTAATTCCCACGGATACAAACCGTCTCGTTCACGTGAATCGGGTACGACTCTACCCATAGGTTAATGCCAATTGAACCCGAAAATTTCACAGTTCCACAGAGCTTTGCATAGTTGAATGAGAGTTGGAAAGACTTTGCAGAACAGTTGTGGACTTTGGATAAGAACTGTTAGACAGCTGCTTTTCCATAACACTTTTACCAAATCTCGGAGCCTTTTGAACCAGAGAGCTTTGAGTGCTTGAGAATCTACTCCGAGAGTTTTTCCAGACTCACCCAATTTTTCAAAGTTAAATCTTTTTCTAGTCACACGAAGAATGCCTGAACTGTGAACAAATCAGCAGGCGGTTTTACTCATGCTAAGGGTCTGTTCACCTTCTGACTTAGCACAGATTCTAAGGGAAATTCAAGCTGCGTAGGAAGAGGGAGACAGCCACCGAGGCCTAGAAGCAGATTCTGGGAGTAACTTGAATCTCAGATGGATAGGAGCATATAGAATGAACATCAAAAGAGAGAATAATACTAGATGAAACTAACATGATCAGATCCACATAATGCGATGCTATACAAGACCATACATACATCTAAACTCGAATTCAAGGACTACATGGACCCAAGTTAAAAATGCGGGTTCGGCTAATCTCTTTTAATACACTCTATTAAACATCTAAACCATCGCTACTCGTCGACGACTGCACGCTTCAGGGGTTCCGCCCCTTCCAGAAGGCGTTGTCCTCTCGGTCGTTCCGGAACGCACAGCACCCCACTGAGTACACTATGATGAGGACAACGAGGACGATGATGTTGACGATGGCGACCTTCTTCCAGTCTCTCTTGAGGTTGTCCAGCAGGCCAGCCTTGCAAGACTGGCAGTTGTAGCACAGCACATTCACGTCGTTGCTCCATGTACTGCAGTCCGAGTCGGTGTAGGTCGTGGTCGTCCCAGCATTCCAGACAATCGGGCTCACATAGGTGAAGTTGCAAGAATCCGGTGGCTTGCAACAACCGGACTGAGAAAAACGTGTCACATTGTTAGTTCCAAACTTCCAACTAGAGAATGACTAACAGAGGAAACCAACAAGCTGAAACACGTGATAGAATTAACTACAGAAACAAAACAGCAGCATAAGAATTAAGAACCAAGTCCATGACAGCATTGATTGATGTAAAAGTTTCGAAATTGAGATGACAACAACAGCTGTGCCAGACCAGTTTAGTGAAATCAAGAGGAAATTCATTGGAAGGGCATTCCACATGAAGAACACAGCAAGATGTTCTATTAATTTGCCTTAACAGCAATTTTGATTCGACATACATTATAATCATATCATTCATGACCAATAACAAAGTCACATCTTCCAATATGCTCACAGAATTCAGAATGAATTCCTAACTGAGCTGGCAGTGAGTCCCTATGCGGCTTCAAGCGTCGAAACAGAGACAATCTAAAAACCCTCGTCGCAATAAAACAGTTCATTCAAAAATATTCGGCCCATAAGGAAACCAGAGAGCACCATGCTCCATCACCCTATGCAGGGCAACCACGAACCACAGAACGAGCGATTTAACAGATCCATTAGCATTAGTCAACAAGCCCTCAAAGATCTCATCTCTAGCATAATGCAAGGAGCGAAAGCATGCCAAACTACACATGAAAAGCCGCAGATCCAACGAATTCCTCTCACAAAATCGCTTTAATTCAGCTATTAATTACTCACACTCAATCCAACACATGACAGAACAATCACCGAGAACAGAAACCCACAATAACTACTCGTATGCGTAATGAACTTCAGATTCAAACAGCAGAGGACAATGAAGAGAAAAACTGTAGCAATTACTTGAAGAGAGAGAGAAATTTACTTGAAGAGCCGACAGGTTCTCGTTGTACAAGTCGTTCACCACGGTATCTTTAGCATACTTGTCGGCGTAAGCCTGGCAGACCTTGCTGTCGATCAAGCAGCTCTTGATCTTGTTCCAGTTCTTGGTGCTGTTCACCCGCTTCTGCAGCCAGTTCGAGTAATCCCCGAGCTTGTACTCCTTGTACCCTTTACCGGACAGGGCCTCCCCGGCGCCCTTGTTGGTGACCACGAAGGCGAAGACGGTGAAGGCGAAGAGGAGGAGGATGAGGAGGAACATGACGAGGAGGTAGACCCAGAGGAGCCAGGAGACGCCGCAGCACGCGCCCACGAGGCCCGCGATGGACACCACCATGAGGAACACACCGAGCGCGATGACCGGCTTCTCGAGGAACTTCTCGCAGTCGGTGTCGGCACGCTTGGCGAGCCATATGCCGGCCCCGAGGATGGGGACCGAGACGAGGAACGTGACGAAGTTGAGGATGCCGACCAGGTTGTTGCTGAGGCGGAACATCTTCTCTCGGAATCAAGACTGGCTGGGCGAAAACCAGAACGACCCAACTGAGGAAAGGATGATCTTTTGGACAAGACAGAGGGAAGGAGGAGGTTGGATGGATGAGGAAAGAGATAACGGAGAATAAATAAGGAGAGACACACGGTGTGTTCCGAGATGGGGACGAAGATGCTGCAGGGAAGATTCAAATTCGGGGGTGTGCGAAAGCGAGAGAGTTGCAGAGTGCAGACGCAAACCGCACGCGCTGAGGTGGGAGATCGGAGTGCGTGCGCGTGTGAAAGTTGCGGCAACGGTTTGAATTTTTCCGCCGCACGCACGGCGGTTACTGCGGAAGCGAAGGCGAGGAAACCAACGAGGTCAAATACGATGATGTTTGATGATGATGATCCGGAGCGCGCCGACGCCAAACGTCGTTTCCGCCACGTAACGAGTTGGACGGCTATTCGTACGCGTGTGCGCTAGGTGCTCTTCTTGGGGATGAGGTGGAATACTTCTCATGCGTCATCCCCATAGTCATCGAGAAGACTGGCCCGCGTTCCGATGCCCGTTTGGTGATCTGGATAAGAGCCGGGACGTGATAGGATCTTATCGTGTCCAGTGTGTTGTGACCCGATTCGGACGTGATTTAACTTCGATTGGATCGAGTGAGATCGTCATGGATGATTTATCGATCTCGGACGAGGGTGGAGTAAGAATTTATCCCGACCCAGGTTGGACAAAAAAATAATGACGATGATCACACTGCGTCGGTAATGGCTCGGGCAACCACCACGCGACCGTCGCAGAGATATTGCCCTTGCCTTCGACATGGGCGGCGGCAAACGTCGAATCGACGGCAACAAGTCCAATTTGAAGAGGCTTCCCTCCTTCGCTATGGCTGCCATGGCTCATTCCCTCTCTTGATTTCCGTTTGTTTTTTTTGGCTTTTGGTTTTATTCTCTAACTTTTCATTAAAAAAAGTGTTGCTTTTCTTTTTCTTTTCTTTTTGACATTTTTCTAACGTGATACCCCATCGGCACCACACCAACGCCGCGTTAGTAAATTTAATTGATGCAGTGCCGAAAAGATTAAATTGCGCTAGCCCGAAAAATCTAGAATTTAACTATACTTCAAGTCAAAAGCTTGGGATTTTTTGTGTAGCTTTCCTATTAGGAACTAAGAAAAAATCAAGATGACTCCATAGACAGTAAAGATGCCAGTAATTCTCGGGAGAGTAACGCTGCGAATGACAACCATTCTATTTCAGAAATCAATTTCTGACCAGAAATTGATTTTTTCTATTTCTGTTCTTGGATGAGTTTCTAAGCAAAAAACATGTTCGATAACGACACAAAATTTCTGTTCCAGAAACAAAAATTTGTTTGATAATGGCACAAAATTTCTTCCTCTCGAGTGGCTAGCGAGTGGATAGCGAGCGACGAATTGTGGTAGCAAATGGTGGGCGGCGGGGGGAGGCGAAGGCGGGAGGAGGGCAGCCAGAGGCGGGAGCGTTGGCCGGTGGACGACGGGCGGCGGCCCACTACGGCCGGCGGTGGGAGGTGGGCGGCGACCAACGGTGAGCTGAAGACGGAGACGGTAGCTGGCAGTGGGAGGCAGGCGGCGGCGAGAGGAGAGCGGCTAGCGGCGGGAGACGGTGGCCGGGCGGCGGCCCACAGTGGCCGAAGGTGGGCGGGGGTAGCGGCCAACGATGGACGGCGGCGGCGGGAGCGGTGGCTGGTGGATGGCAGGCGGCGGCCCACGGTGGGTGGCGGTGGGAGGTAGGTGGGCGGTGGCAAGAGGAGGAAGGCCGGTAGTGGGAGACGGTGACCGGCGGTGAGAGGCAGGTGGCAGCGGGAGACGGTGGCCAGTGGACAGTGGGCGGCGGCCCACGGCAACAAGCGATGGGATGTGGGCGGCGAGAGAAGGGCGGGCGGCGGCGAGAGACGATGACCAGCGGTGGGAGGTAGGCAGCGAGAGGAGGGCGGCCAGCGAGGGGAGACGGTGGGCGATGGATTGTGGGCAACGGCCGATGGATGGCTGGCGGCGGCGGTGGCGAGAGGAGGGAAGCTGGCGGCGGGAGACGGTGGGAGGCGGTGGGAGGCGAGTGGCGGCGAGAAAAGGGCGGCCAGCGGCGGAGACAGTGGCCGATGGACGGCGGGCGGGGGAGGGAGCGGCAAGCCGGAGGCAAGCGGCGGCGGTGGGTGGCGGTGGGTGGCGACAAGCTGCCGGTGAGTGGGCAGCAAGTGGGCGACCGGCTAGTATAGAGGGCGAGCAATGAAAAGAATTTTTAACTTCTCATTTTTTGTTCCAGAAATAGAAATGCAAAAAAAAATTACTTTTGATTTCTATTACAAACCTATTTCTATTTCAAAAATTTGTTCTAGAAATAGAAAATAAAATTGCGTTACCAAACAGATTTCTATTCCAAACCTATTTCTGGAACAGAAATAGAGAAATAGAATTGTTATCATTCGCAACCTAAAAGTCCAAGACATTTCAAGAAAAATTAGGGCACTTCGATGATAGAAATCGTAAGTAATAGCAATTGAAAGTCGGGCAGCATTGGTGGCGTTAGCAAAGAATGGGCATAAACGTAAAGATGCTTCTATGCGATTTCATCAATGGTAGACATCATCCATTACAAGTGGATATAAATAAATAGGTCTAACACTATGAAAAATCTCAAACTAGTACATCCATGACATTTATCAAAAACTAATTTTTTAACTATCAAAAACCCCAAACCGGTACACCTGTGATAAATTTACCTTCCGATAAATTGATTTAATACCACGAAAAATCACAAATTGGTAAACTCGTGACAAACGGAGGGGTAAGACCTCAAACCGGTATATCCGTCAACTACCATGTGTTATTTGACTCAGTAATTCGACAGTAAAATTTAACGGAAACTAATGTAAGGTAAACTTGTCACAGTTGCACCAGTTTGGGGTTTTTAGAAGTCAAAAAACTAGTTTTTGATAAATTTATCATAGGTGTATTAGTTTAGAGTTTTTCGTGGTATTAACCCAAATAAATAAAAGGAAAACAAGCACAATGGCAAATCTCACATAAGCCGAAAGCCCTCAGCCCACTCCATCCTCGGCCAATATATAAAATTTCCTTTTCTTCATTGTGCATAACCCATCCGTGAAAGGAGAGAGAGAGAAATCAAAGAAAGAAAACAAATATATAACCACAGAAGTAGAACTAAATAAGATGATTTTTTAGAGATATAATGAATTAAATAAAAAAAAGGAGAAGGCCACAAAATCTGAAAACACATTGTGCGATCATAGAAGACAAACGATATTGTACACTCGGCCAAAGGTATTTTGCTTTTGAAGTGATTTCATATCGATGCTCTCCATTCATTTTCTCATGTAACATGTCGATTAGGATTTTTGCATACCAAAACATTGCACGATTGCACAGGAACATATGCGAGGATCGTCTCATGTACTTACTCTCGCGTAGTTAAGGAAGAGATGCAAGTGCACTCGCCACTTTAGCACATCAAGAAAAGTGGAGGGGGGCAAAAACAAAGGCATGTCAAGCGGCGAAACCGTGCCACGTGTCGTGTCGAGCGGCAATCGCGGAGGCAAAAAGAAGTGCCGCGTGATAAGCGCTAGGGGGGATATTTTCTCAGCTCCGGCTTTAGCTATGTATGATACATACAATACAAACATACGTACACACGTCGTGTGCGCATTCGTACTTAGAAATAGCAATTGATAGTGTCGAATATCTAATTCGATCCTATCAACGATGCAAGAAAAGTAATGGAAATTCGCACAACACAAGAATTTACGTGGTTCAGCAGGGGAGATGTTCCGCCTACCTACGTCCACGGGGAGATGAGATCTGTTTCACTAATAACGTAGAAAAGTGTACAGCCGCTCTTTTTCACTCCCTCCTTCTCTCTATAGAGACCTGTTTCGCCCTAAATATATAGCGAAACCCTACATAGCACAAATTATAAAATTGCCCACATAGCTTAAAACATTTAACTTTCCCATAGAGATCCTTCTATGATGAACATAAAACGCCTCTCGCGGCCGGGCGCCCCCCGGACCCCGCGGGCGGGACCCCGTCTTGTCGGTCGTCGGGGGGCCTTTCAGAACCGCCTCATAATCTCTTGGATAACAGAATACAAGACATCAACCTCAACAGATAGGGCAATTATACAATGCCCCCTCAGCTTTTAGGGTAGGACACATTTGCCCCCCAACTTTTAACCATTGCATGATATTCCTGAGATTATGTTTATAACCACCTTGAATACGCAATTATTCTTTTTCATTAGCATGACTTTTAAAGGGCAAAAGTGGAATTTCGACTCATTTTTAAAGGAAATCTCTCTTTTAATTTTAATTGTTGTAAAAATTAAAATATAGAAAATGGGAGCAATTTAAATTTAATAAAATACTAATAATAGAAAGAGTAAATATCAGTAAAAATATTCCAAGCGATAAAAATTTGTTAAAGTTTGTACAAACATAACCATTTTAATAGAACTAAATAAGATATTTTAAAAAAAGTAATAAGCAAATTAAATAAATAGGGAAAAGGCCTCAATCAGAAGGTGTATTGTACGATTATGGAAAAAAAAACAATATTGAACTCAGGCAAATGTAATTTTCTTTTGAAATGATTTCATATTTTCAGGAAAATATGCAACGAACGTCCAATGTTTTTGTTATGAAAGTGAGCGGTTGCGTTCCAAATGGTAAAGTTCAACCTTTGCGAACTTCATATTCTAGAGAAAACCAGTGTTTGCTGTCAAGGCTTTGGACTGATCGGCCGGTTAGCATTTTTGCGCTCGCAAGCTTTTGTCTCCGTAGTGGGATCAACCAGACCAACCTCCCAGGCTTCCCCGAGAGTGTAATGTCCTAGGATTGGAATGCTAAATGGTGCATCGTCATCTTGAAATCGAATTCGGAACCCGATTTGTGTTAGGACTTGGGGGCGTGTGTGGAGATCAGAACTCCGCTCCTATTTATTGATATTAATCGCATGTTACAAACGTAACAACGACCCCCCCTCTACTAAGGGAAAAATGCAAGGGGGGAGGGGTGGGTGGGAATGGCAATTGAATGCGGTTCCGGCATCACACAATCTAGGATTTGTTATAGTATTACATAGATGACAGAAAAAAGTGATCATCCGATTGAGAATAGCAGCTTCGAATTCAAATTTTGCTGTCAAAGCTTAACTAGTTCAAGAAAACAAGATGCAAACACAAGCAAGCTCTAGATAAGATTAGGACCCATGAATATATAACTAGCACTCTAAAGCTTTCTCATCTCCACCCATGTCACTCATCAGTTCCGCGACCTAAGATAGCCTTCTTGTGCAAAATGAGAGCTTCTCTCATGGCCTCTGCTAGCACGCAGCATTTAATTCTACTGGTCCTTGCTTCTCGTGTCGTGCTGGTGCCGCTCTAGGATTGTACCCCGCAGAAGCTATTGGCTGCAATCTGCTTCAACCTCCTCCCTACAGACAAAACGGTCAGGTACTTTGCGCAGTATAACCTTGACGAAAGGAAAACCGGCTTGTCAAGGCTTTTTGGAATCATAATTACCACCCAGAAAACATCCTATATAACTATCAAGTATAGTCAGGAAGCTACACTGATTTGAGTTTGATTGAGACACCATTGACGTAAGACCCGTCTCCAACCAATACTTACTCCGACGAATCGCAAGGACTTAGGGATCACTGAATGCTCTGCATAACAGCAGAGGAATCAAAGAAAAAGAGGAGAGAGGAATCTGCAATGTGATAAAGGCAGGCGAAAGGATGGCGAGCATTGAGCAGAACAATGCGATCACGAGATACAGCGGAAGCATTCTTGGTCTGGTTACAAGGCAATGATCCTGCATGATCATCTCCATTTCAGGATGCGTGATTGAACTGAAAAATCCAGTCCCGCGCCGCTGCTCAACCATTTGTATCCTGCCGATTACAAGGCAAAGATCCTGTACGAGCAGCTCTGCTTCACGGCTAGCCAAGGTATGCTCAACCTGATCAAGGTAGAAAAGGGAAAAAAAGCAAGAAGAAACAAGGCTCAGTTTCATCCTCAAAATTCAGCTGTACATGATCACATTCCGCCTCCATTGTATTGTTCTAGAATACAGACTACGGCGTAACCCGAGATGATCAGGTACTACCTCATGTGCAGTGACAGTTGCTGTTTCCGCATCCGTCTTGCAAAAGTGAAGTGATTCTGGGGACACAGCAATCTTCCCGCCGGTGTGGGAGCCTGCAGATAAATCGGGACAATCCAACACCGAGGCCCTCCAACCAGGGCCCTCCAGACGCAAGGTCCAAGAAGGTGAACCGTGATCTAAATTTTGCCAGACCCGCATCTTACACGACCGTCCATTGGAGATTCCAAAACAACAGAGACTGTACTGATCATGCTTCGGTTTCGACTTGTCACGAACTTGTTCACGGTTTATCGCCTCGACAACACGTTCAGCAATCGACCGGGTCCTCCCAGCCTCAAATGGTTCCGATAAAGATGATGGCAACAAGCGACTGACAAACGAGGATCCAAGAAGGAACGTAGATGTAGTAGTGATGAAGATGATGGCGGCACACGAGGAGACGCGCCGAGAAGGGATGGTCGGCTGCAGCGAGCGAAAAACGACGAACCCTGCCATAGTGAGCTTGGAGCAGCGGGAGTGGGACGTGACCTGGAGAAACGGGGAAGCCAATTGAGCGCGCTTTTGTTCCTATGGAGTTTGGAGAAGAAACCCATGAAGCAAATGATGCCTAGGATTCGTGTCTACCGGGTTTCGCTCAACAATCCTGCAGCTGCAACTGCAACTGCAAGAAGGAATCAAGAAGAAGCAGAAGATGATGATGATGGAGAGGATGAGGAGACTCCGTGTAGCGCAAGGTAGAAAGCGAGGTGAGAAAAAGGGGAAATTTGCACAGTTTTGTCGCGTCTGCGGTTTTGATTCTGTACGCGATAAATCTGACTCAGTCGGTGTGGTGACTCACCTAACTCTTTTATGCGATAAACACTACAAAAAAAAACAAGGGATTAGCGACGAAAAATTTGATAAAATCCGTCACAAATTAGCCACAAACACTATCCGTCGCAAAATTCATCGCAAATAATTCGTCACAAGTTAGCCACGAACTTTATTCGTCGCAAAATTCCACTACAAAAAAATGAGGTTTTAGCGACGAATTTTGCGACGAAAAATTTGGCAAAACGAATTTGCGACGAAAAAAATTCCGTCGCTAATTTGCGACGAAATATATTCGTCGCAAAATTCATCGCAAAAGTCATCGCTAATTATTCGTCGCAAAATTTATCGCTAATTATTCGTCACAAAATTCGTGACAAATTATTCGTCGCAAAATTCGTCACTAATTATTCGTCACAAAATTCGTCGCAAATTATTCATCGCAAAATTCGTCGCTAATTATTTATCGCTAATTATTCGTCGCAAAATTCGTCGCTAATTTCTACCAAAAAACAATTTCATCGCTAATTTGCCATGTTTTTTTTTTTGGGTCTGTAATTTTTTTTTTGGTCAATAATAGCAACGAATTTTTATTAATTCTTTAGCGACGAACTCTGCGATGAATATTGTTTAGGGACGACTTCGATTTTAAATCTAATTAACAGCAAAATTAATTCCTACAATTTATATTTAACATTGATTAAGCACTTAATAACATCAAAATATTATAATAATATGAAAATGAAATACATTCATCTGCATTTTCCACAAGAATGACATATATATTTTTCTTTATAGTACACATAATGAGAGAATAAATAATCTTGAGCACTTTAAAGCACTTGCTTAAGCAACCTCAGGATGGCAATTCTTTCCAAGGCAGGAACATATTGGGCCAACTGCACTTCTGGCACTGAAGATGCTGAAGCAAAGCTTATCCCCGATATGTATGAAAAGATACTTTCAATCTTGCGCCCCACTATGCTTTCTTCAATAAGGTTTGCATGAAGTGTTTCATCACCTCCTCCAAAGAAGTGACATTCACTTGTTGACATACAATGCGATACTCAAAGTCCCACAAGCCCAAAGAAGAAAGTGAAATACCTACAATTGCCAAAATTTCGCATCCAAAATTAAAAGGATTGCACTTAGAACATTTATATATCTTTAGGCCATGAAAGCAATTGCTAGAAATTTCTGGTGACACATTTTCAGTCTAATTGATCCTCTGAAAGAGCAAATTAAGAAGCCTAGATTAACGGACCTACCAATCAATATGCACACCGCACAAGGTTAGATTGGCTCTCATTGTACAATGATGTGTAATAATCCTCTTCTCTAATGTCCAGTGTATCCCGCCTCAAAGTAACCTGCAGGGAAAGAAAAGAGAGCAGGAAGCGGTGGATTTAAGTTAAAAATCTTCGACATGCCGAATTGCAATTGTACACATATGCAAGAGAACTCGCAATTCTAGGTGGAAGTGCAAGATCAGCAGCTCTTCCCTTTATTGTGCGTCTCAGCAAAATTTTTTTCAAAATTGTGTTTTAGTAATATCATTGCTCGCCTTCTGCCAACGGCATTTCCATGTGCTTGTATAGGATTCGCTATATACTAGATAGAATATATACTCCATATCAGAGTTCAAATGAAAACATTCCATATGATTTGCCCAAAAAAAAGAGAGAGAGAGGCCAAAGGAGGCCAAAGGACCAATGAAAATGCAACTCACTCGTTCCACCAACAAAAGTGCCGTACAGAACTGTGAGAGCATTCAGGACATTGTTTTGAGGAACTGCAAATGAACAACAGACTTACAAAATAGGTAACAAAGGAAAAATACATTCACTGAACTCAGTGCATGCAATCAGCAGGTGAAGCTCTAAGACCAATCGATAAAGTTAATGCAGAAAACAAAGAGTGAGATTGCATTAACTAAAATAATGAAAGTGAAGTCAACCCAGACAACAAACAAAATTGAAGAGGAATTCCTCACATATAATGGCAAAAGGAAATAAAAATTAGAAAGATCATCTGAGTAAAAGATGCATCCATCTATTGTGTACACCCTCAGTCTATAGTATTTGTGATGTTCTTCACAGTATACCTGTATCTTTACTCTGCCAAACATATCCCACATAGAACTCTTCTTTAAATTATACCTATTTGATGCTTCACTCTTAAAAGCAATAAGATGTCATTAGCAAATATAAACTAGATATAGGAGCTACAAGCTCCACAATGGCCCCACTATCCAAACTTTCAAGGTCTTTACATCAAGAAGGCGATATCTACTCTATCATCTAGGAGAAGAATCTAACATCCCAAAAAAAAAAATCTTTAACAGGCATGATGCTTGATAGTTCACCATTTTGGATATGTCATTGCCACTCAATCAAAGATAAAGAGATTCTTCAATTTCTCTTTTCTTTGCAGTTTTCCCCCTGGCAGGATGATCATCAATTTAGGGACATTCTCCACTACGGTACCCAAGAGGGTGCAACCCACCAAATCATGTCAAATACAACATACAAATCAATAGCATCCACATATCTACTACCAACTGTAGACCAAGATTTTGAAGGTTAGGGATATATTCAGAAACAAATTTTGTGCATGCTTCAATGAATAATGATATGAGATAACAGCCCTTAAACACGTATCTCACAGGGCAAGATACAAGTATGGACTTGTTCTCTAAATGGAACATCCACCATGGTGGGAGATATTCCAGCAATAGTTGCATCAAGATCAAGACGTCCTGTGAGAACTACGTAGCAACATGAGATCTGAATCATGTCACACTCTTAACCTAGAGTCTCGATAACTTATACACAGGCATATCACATTCAAACAAAGGAAAAATAATGTGCAGATGAAAGTATAAAGTCACATCCACATCAAAAAGCTATCATGAAGGCTTAGCCTCAGCACTGCAGATCTTAATGTGTCAGAAAGATGAGACCGAAGCCTGAGGTACAAATGTTTTGGCAGAAGACTGATGGAAACTGAAGCCTGAGGTACAAACACTTTAGCAGCAGGCTGAATTGAGACTTGAGATTAGGAGGTTGCAGCCTTCACTTGAGGATAAAATTAATAAAGATGTATTGCCTAGAAGAACATGGCTATGACACTTTAAACTCGTAATACCGAGCAGCAAAGATTAAATGGATGTAGCTAACTTGTACTTTACCATTCATAGAGACGCTAAGTATTCTTGCGAAGAATGCCACATGCACTGCTTCTTTAAATATCTATGCAAAGATTGCCACATTATTTGGTATACCAAGTCGCTAAACCGGTCTTTTTGCACGTGTAGTTGCCTCTAACCATTTCGTGTCAACATGAACGACTACGGTCCTACAGGCTGAGATTGCCTGTTATACCAGAAACCACCCATGGGAAAATATAACCCGATTATCTTGTGATTGAAACTTTACATACCTATAATCAAGTGTTCTGCAATCACAATCTTGACATAAGTAGAATGAATACGGCACAATTCGAAGAAAACGGACCCAAAAAGTTTATTGCAGGACAATGTGATTGACTACAGAAGGTGAATAACAATTAACCACTCGTATAAAATAGAAACTTACAAGAGAGTAGAGCTCCCCAACACGATTTTGAAGAGGTGTTCCACTTAAAGCCCATCTGTATGAAGACTCCAGTCCGAGAACTGCTTTTGCAGTATTACATCACCTATCTTTGACAAAGCGAGCCTACATTGAATAAAATTGCATAGGCATAAGTGGGAAATGTACATGCAAATGAATGTTCAAAGATCACGAAGCAAATCATACTAAGGCTGCGTTTGGTTCAGCATTGGGAAGGGGCTTTCAGCCCCGAAAGCCCCTTCCCAAAAATGCTGAACCAAACGGTTAGCATTGAGCATTGAAAATGCTCAAAACTAGCATTTTCAATGCTGATCAGGACTAGCTTTGGACTTTCAGCCTTGAACCAAATGCCAAAATCATTTTTATACTTCCCAAACTACCCTCACTCAAATTTCAATATTCCGGCTTTGCCCTCTCGTTACTGTTCATCTTCTTCACCAAAGGGACTCCGGCGAGGGCAAAGGGCCGGCGACGGCGAAGGTCCGGCGAGGTCGCCCGACCCAGGCGACGGCCGCCCGGGGTCAGGCGATCGCCCAGGCGCGGCCGCTCGGGGTCGGCGGCGCCCAGTGCGGCGCGCTGGGTCCCGCGACCTCGGGCGACCGTCGGCTGGGGTCGCGACCCAGGCGGCCGTCGGCTGGTCGCGCGACCCGGGCGGCCGTCGGCTGGGGTCGCGCGACCCAGGGCGGCCGCCGGCTGGGGTCGCGCGACCCGGCGGCCGCCGGCTGGGGTCGCGCGACCCAGGCGGCCGCCGCTGGGGTCGCGCGACCCAGCGGGCCGCCGGCCTGGGGTCGCGCGACCCGGGCGGCGCCGGCTGGGTCGCGCGACCCGGGCGGCCGCCGGCCTGGGTCGCGCGACCCGGGCGGCCGCCGGCCGGGTCGCGCGACCCGGGCGACGGTCGCTTGAGGTCGCGCGACCTCAGGCCTCGTCGCCCGAGGTCGGCGTCCCTCGCCGGGGGTCGCTCGGCGACGGGCGACGGCCGCCGGCGGCCGTAGCCCTTCGCCGGAGCCCCCGTCGCCGGAGCCGTAACCCTTCGCCGGAGCCGTAACCCTTCGCCGGAGCCGGCGAAGGGTATTTTTGCCTTTTTTTTAAAAAAACTCCCCCCCCCAAAGCCCATTTGTAAAAAAAATTAACCAAACACCACTTGGGTCAAAATAGCTTTGCAAATGAGTTTTTACCAAACGCCATTTGCATTTTTCCTAAAGGGCTTCCACCCAAAGGCATTTGCATTCCCAAAGTAGCATTCCAAATGCTGTACCAAACGCACCCTAAGAGATCCCGGATAGAAGTTTTTTTGATAAATTGTGGAAAAGAACATGCATATACGGTTCCCTAAAAGTAATCAAACCTTCAATCGAAAGGCCTAATCTTACAGAAATTTGTCTTGCCAAGAGCAAATTAACGCATTCATGCGTGGCTTCACCCAGCCAAACAAAATAACGAATCACGTGTTGCCAGCATGGACATATCGAAATCTTTATATCGGTTACAAAGCATTGAACTATGTTAGCACTCATATCACCGCAAGATACTCCCATTCACTCACCTCATCCAAAATAATGCGCTCCCACTTTACCGAGTGTAAAAGCGACTTGCCCACACGATGGCTTTGATCATCCTCCAAATCACTAACGTTCTCTACTGTAGATTCTATATCTCTTTGTTGCGTTGCCTGTCTGCCTTTCTTCTTTACTTGTGTTGCCTGTCGTGCCCAAATTATCCGCCTTCAACAAAATTCAAGAAACTCATCAAACCAAAACGCAACGTCAAACGAACCAAAAAAACATTCCTCCAAGCAACCTCAGACCCAGAAGTGCAAAATCTGCCTCTGGGTTTTCATCTCACGACCGTCGATTTCTTCTCTCAATTTACCCAAAATTCCAACGAAATCGACTCGGAAAACTCAGGGTGTTCACGGTGCTCTCGAGATTCTGAGCAGCACCGTAGGCCGAGAAGATGAGCAGGAACCCACAACTCAGGATATGGACATCACGGGCATGGCCTCTCGGAGGCGACGCAGCCGGCGGGGCCTCGGCGGCGACCAGCAGAGCCTCCTCGTCGGAAGCCTCGGCCTCCTCCTCAAGAACGGCGATCTCTCGGTCCTCTTGCTCCGCCTCCTCCGCCTCTAATTTCTCGGGGAGCTCCTCCTTGCCCTCGACGGGGGGAGGAACCGCCGCCCCTTCGGGCTCTGCGGCCTCTAGGGCTCCGGAGGCCATGGCGAGGAGTTGCCGGAGGAAGCGCAGGGGGGGAAGACGGAGAAGGAGAAGCGGAAGCAGGGGGTGAGGGGATCGGCAGAGAGAGACTGAGAGAGAAAATGGGGGTGAGGGCGGGCAAAGCAAAATTAGCGACGAAAAGCCGTGGCTCAATCTTATTTTGCAGTTTAATTTTGCGATGAAATTAGTAAAGAATTTTGCGACGAATTATTTTTCCATCGTAAATTTACGACGGATTTCGTTTAAAAATAATTAAAATAATAAAAAAAAATTGCGACAAACGAAATTCGTCGCAAATTAGCGACGAATTTAGTTTCCGTTGCAAATTAGCGACGGATTTAGCGACTACCTTTTAAAAAATAATTAAAAAATTCAATTTTTTTACAAAAAAATAAAATAAAAAATAATTAAGAAATTCGATTTTTTAAAAATAAAAATATTTAAAAATTCTTTTATTTTTTTGATCTAAAATAAAATCATGAGATTAAAATCATTTTCCAATAAAATCCAAACATCAGAAAACTATTTCCATCGTATATCATCAAACGAATGAAAACTAAACGTATTCATGGAAAATGATTTTCCGGAAAACACTTTCCTTTATCATTAAGTTTTCTGCAAAACAAACCCTTAGAGTGATTACCAACTTCTCCTCTATCAAGTTTACCATTTTGCATTACCAACTCCTAATTGAGTTACTTACCAATGTTTATTTTCATTGTTTTTCTACACCAACTTCTCTAATCTCTAACCAAACAAAGCTTCTGTCATTGTTTACGAACTTTTATTTACATTTCTTACCAATAATTTAAATTTACCGAGTATCATATGAAACTATCAGCCTAGCTTTCTTTGCGTGATTTGGGTAAATTTTCTCCAATCAAATCAATTAGTTTTGGATTACCAAATCTCATTTGAGTTATTAGCATTTATTTTTTATTTTCTCAAATTTACTAGCTTTTTATTAAGTTGCTACTTTTATTTGCATTGGTTTCCAACTTTTTAAATTTACTGGCTCTTTTAGAAATTACTAACTTTTATTAGAGTGATTACCAACTTTTTTCGATCAAGTTACTAACTAGTTTTATGTTACCTTCTTTTATTTGAGTTACTTACCAATGTTTATTTGGTTTTCTATTTTGAAATGACCGACTTTTCTTATCTCTAACAAAAATACATTTCTAATTTTCTACCAGCTTTGAATTTACCTTCTATTACATGAAATTATCAACTTTTTTGTGTGCCTCATTAACTTTTGCCCAATGAAGTTACCAATTAGTTTTGGATTGTCAACTCTAATTTGAGTTACTTACCCATTTGGTTTTTTAACTTACCAATTTTTATATTGAGTCATGCTTCTTTTTGCATGACTTATTAATCCCATTTTACGATTTAATACCAATTAATTTTCTATTACTAACTGTTATTTTACTTAATTACTAACATTTATTTGATTGTATCCCATAGTAATTAAGTAACCGTTTGTAATAGAAAATTAACACCTGCCGTTTTTTTAAGTAACTGTCGATAATTAGCGACGAATTTTGTTTCCGTGGCTAAATCCTTTTTTTTGACTGTTTTTCGTCGCAAATTAGTGACAAATTTTTTTTCCGTCGCAAATTAGCGATGAATTTTTTTCCGTCGCTAAATTTGTCGCATCGCTAAATTCGTCGCAAATTAGCGACGAATTTATTTTCCGTCCCTAAATTCGTCGCTAATTAGCGACAAATTTTTTTTCGTCACAAATTAGCGACGAATTTATTTTTCGTCGCAAATTCCGACGAATTTTTTTTTCGTCGCAAATTAGCGACGAAATTTTTTTTCCTCGCAAAATTCCGTCGCAAATCAGCGACGAATTCTTTTTCGTCGCTAAATCCTTGTTTTTTTTGTAGTGTTATGCAGCTACTTGTAAAATCTAAAAATAAGTGCCAATCTATTATTAGGTTTGTTGATGGTAAAATTGTTATTTCTTTCATAAGTTACAATCGGTAAGCTAGTCTAACAACTATTGTTCAAGTTTTACGACTTACCATCGATTTTTCAAACTTATTATCAACTTTACATATTTACTGACACGAAACAAAATTCCATTATGGCAAAAGGAACTTTTGAAATCTGCCTAGAATTCGACCAAAAAAAAAAAGTCTGCCTAGAATAAATGGAAGTAACCGTTTGTATCCCATAGTCAGGAAAGTACAAAAGAAATCTCCCAAAATCAACACCAATATTGTTACTACAAAATGGTAAGGCTCTATTGATGCAGAAATACTTTTCTCTGTACAGATAATCTAACATCTTCAAACATAAGTAATTGGTCCAAGGGAAAACTTCAAACAATCATTGATCACATTTAACTTTGCTTTGCGTAAGAAAGAAAAGTAAATACTGTTTGTGCTGCTGTGAGAAGGAGCGACACGATGGCTGCGAGAACGGACAAGAAAGCCCCAAGGACTATGGAAATATTCCCTCCTCAGTTTCGCCATCCAGACGTTCCTCTTCCTGTTACAATACGCATTCACACAGTTGCAGAGCTCGTTGTAATAGAAATTGTATAGAGTGACTCCGTCACCCGTCTTGTTGATCATCTGTACAACCACCTCGTCATCGCCCAAGTAGTTCTTAATAATCCCTGTGCGGCGAAGCACCTCAACGTCCTTTGAAGAGTTTATGAGGCAATCCATGAAGGTCACGTAATCTGTAAAGTAGTTGATGTCTATGCTTTGACGATGCTGCTCGTACGCGATCAGGTTTCGAAATTTTGATTC